GGAGATTTATGGGCCATTGTGAGGTGCTCCAGACAGAACATGCAGTGGTGCTCCGAGAAGCAGCTGTAGGTGCAGTACCTGTTCGAAGGCATTGTACCATAGCAGCACGGCAAGCACAGCGCACCAGCAAACAGTCCCTTGGCCAGCAGCCACCTGGACCAGGCCAGAACTCCTGTCCAGAAGTGAGTGGGTGGGGGGTCCTCGGGATAGCCTCTATCCTCGCAATGGTCATGAGGTGTATGAGGGAACTCCGGACCGACTCTTACACTGGGCAAAGGGGATTAGATGGAGAAAAATGCCTTCATGGAAGAGGTTTTCTCCCGTGCAGATCAGGCACGAGGCAGGAAGTGAACTTTTGAAATCAGCTGCTCTGCCTCCAGGAAACGTCACTCACATCCTCATGAATGACACGACCCGTGCCCACTGCTCACGATCCACCTAACTAAAATCGAGAGTTGGTTTGGGTTTGAGGACTTGAAATAACTTTGAAACAAAAGAAATCACCTTTTTCTTCTCTCTTTCTTTCAGATGCTGGACTTGGCTCTGTGGGTGTGTGCTGAGCTCTTGCTGCAGGGGACTTTCAGCCCTGAATGGCTGTGAGTTTGTGTTCTTCTCACTAGGCAATCAGAAATAATTTCAGTATAATTAGAAATTTTAGAAATATTCAGCTAAAAATTTCACCTCTATCCCCCTAAGTTTTCCCAGTTTTTTCCAGCTAGGAGCTGCACAGAAGTCAGGCAGGGGAAATGACATCAAAATAAAATGACGTCAAAATAAGACTATAAATATATTTGTATAAACATATAATATGAACAAATATAAGTAACAAATCTATATAAAATATATAGTATATAATATATATCCTTAAAAAGGAGGCACAACTGGGCTTTCCCCCCAATTTAAACCGTAGGATGATGAAAATACAGGAGTTACCCTCAATTCAAACCCATAAAAGAGCATTGTCAAGGTTCTCCTTTTCCATTTGAACTGGAAAAAAATGGAAAATGGGGATTCCCTATCAGCTGATATCCCTGACATCATGGAAAAAGCAGGGTTTTCTTCAATTGATACCATTAAAATTGCAGGGAAGGAGATTCCCCTCAATTTAAACACAGACAATTATGGAAAAGAAAATGTTTTCCCTCAACTTAAAATTATTTTTTCCTAATAATGCAGGAAATCTTCCAGACCCAACCTGCCACCACTTAGAAACCCAGGTGCTGTTTGAGTGCCAGCTGCCTGCTCCAAACTGCCATCAGGAAACTGGGAGGGTGTTTTTTCTTTCGCAGGGAAATAGGTCACTGTGTCACGGTCCATGGTCCAGGGACTGTGCCTCTGCCTGCTAAAATTCCGAACAGATCAAGATTTCTGTCAGACCCAAGCTGCCACCACTTAGAAGCCCGGCTGCCTTTGGAGTGACAAACGCCTCCTCCAAACTGGTATCAGGAAAGTGGGACGGTGAGTTTTGTTTCACAGGGAAAAGGGTCACCCTTCGTGTCAGGGTTAGGGGGTGGTGCCGGGATATTGGGTTAGGGTTAGGGGTGGTTCCGGGGGAGTGTGATGGTTAGAGGTGGTGCCGGGGGCTGGAGTCAGGGTTAGGGGTGGTGCCGGGGGCTGGCTTTTCTCAGTATTAAGTACAGTGCTGTGTAGATGTGTCTTGTAGCCCTTTGCCTTTCATCTGGCAGGCAAGTCACCATGCAAGCTCACTTTCAGTCATAGAGTGTAAGTGGAAATCATCGTGGTGCGGCGTCCGGACTTGAGAGCGGTATTCCGCAGCAAATCTGACCTATCCGCTTGGCCGTCTTGGAACTGATTAGTTTCTGCTACTCGCAGGCATATCGAATACTTTCCATGGGAAACTCTCAGCAGATGTCTGAAACGACGTTTTACCTTGACGTTTACAAAGCCGGCATTCGGGAGGGGCGATGCTGGCTAAGGTCCCTCCCCTCACAGGGGCGAAGGACCCGTTCGCTCTCCTCGCGGGACTGCAGCTCCCGGTGGCTCGCAGCCCGGGACTACAACTCCCGGCGGGCCGTGCCGGCGGCGCAGTGGCCGACGCGGCGGATGAGTGGTTGGCGGGCCGGGGCGGACGCGCGGGGCTGTGCGCCGGGGTAGCGGGATGTGCGCGGGCAGCTGCCGGCGCCTCTCCCGCTCGGGACGGAGCCGCGGGAGCGACGCTGGAGGGGTGAAGCCTCCGTCCGGCCGCCTTCATGGAGCTGAGCAGCGCGGAAGGGGCGTCCACCCGGTTCCTCGGCCTCACTCAGCGGTACCGGAGGCGGGGGCTAATCTCTGGTGGGGCGGGGCACGGCGCGCTGCCGACCGGCGATGGCGGAGAGGGAGGCGGTGCTTTGCTTCCGCGGACCGGTGTCCGGACGGGCTCCCGCGGTGTGGGCCGGCTGGCCCTCGGGCTGGCGGAGCAGCAGGAGCCCCCGAGCTGCAGCCCCTCCCTCGGGCTGCTGCAGGTGGTGCGGGCGGAGTCGGTTTCGCAGCGTATTCAGCGTTGCGTTCGTGCAAGCAGATAGCCGTGGAATATCGCTGGAATTACACGATGGCTGACTGCGTTAGGACTTGTGACTCTTTCTTAAATGAAAAGAGGTTGACCGATACTGACAAGTAAATGGTACAAGTAAATGGTAAGGTGAATGGCAAGCCCGAGGGGCATGCAGGTTGTGTCCTTCTGATCACACAGGTGCAATCTGCAAACTCGCCCCCTTCTGCCACGACCCTCCCCACCCCCAAGTAAAGTGCTTTCCATTGTCCAGCGTCTGAAAGACAAAACTTGTGATTTGACGCTAGGATCCTAAAAATGTCTGCGTTTAGATTAGCAAATACGATTAATTGCGCTTCGTTGTTCAGCTTTCGGGACTGTTTTGTAGGAGCTTCTGTTGAAACGGGAGGAAGCTAGTCCTCTCTCCATCGTTACTGTTCATTTATACAACTGCACCTGTGTTTCCAGACAAATGGGAAAGGGAGGTGGAGCATACTGTGCAGATGCTGTACAGATGCATGCAAGCCGGTTAGTTATATTCATGTGAATAGAGGTGCATCTGCATTTAAATACTTAGTCATGTAAGTAAATTATAAATTATTAAGCCCAACCAATCTGAGGCACTGATGAACTATCCTCTTCAGTGCTGGCAGTTCATATTAATAGGATGAAAATTATTCTAGAGGTATCATAACTGGAGCAGCCATTTTCCGTGTATAGATCAGGACCGAGGAAGGATGTAATTCAATGCAGAAATTTAATATGAACAGTTGATTTTAGTCACAGTGTACTTTTTAAATTAGCAGATGGGATATGTCAGAGAGTTGAGTACAAATCTTGGTGGTAACCGATAATGGAGAGCCAAAGAGGTATGCAGGCTAACGTTCGTTAGGAAGTATATGTGCTTATGCAAATAGTGTGATAATGTGAATCTTACCTGTGCCTAAATTGAAGCTAAGATGCTAATTTTTACGGGGTTGTCTCTGTAGCATTTATGCTCGTGTGAGATTCTGCTTTAATTACTAGATATGAAGCAGGTGACGTCTGATATAAAGTAGTTAGGTTGAGAAAAAGCAGAGATTAACTCTTGGGTATAATTCTGATTTTTAAAAGGACCGCTGGTGTGTTTGAAGGTTAGGTATGTTTTAGGTAGTTTGAGTTGGGACACAAATGGGAATATTGATGTTAAAGCAGTCTTGTTTTAACCATTAGCTCAGATATACTCCTGTTTTTTTAATTATTGAGAGCCCTGTCAGAAAAATGCTTCTGATACCAAAGGGTGCAGTTTGTGGCAAGACAGTCTGTGTCTTCAAATTATTGGAATGCAGTTTGTGAAGAAGTGGTGCGTAATGTGATACGATGGTAGGAGGTCGGTAATGCAGGTGGATTTTGAATTTTGCGTTCTAGGATTACTTTTGTTTGCTATCTTTAGGTTAACGTGGTGAAGGGAAGCCCCTGAAATGCTGTTGTTTCCTTATGCTCTTAAAGTAACACTTTCGTTTCTCATTGTGTGTAGGCTGAAAAAATCAGTAGTGACCTACTAAGTGTGATCTTACTGAGTTGTACAATACAGTTGTCCTCTTTGAGGCATTAAGTGTACATTTTGAACATGGTTATAAGCCACTACCCGCTTTGGAACTCTGATTGCATCACACCTAAGTATTTAATTTAATCATAGCTTTTGCTTCCAGTCAGGACATGGACATATCCTTTGGGAGTAATGTGAAAGCCAGACTACAATGGCTGCTAGAGATTATGCATGCCATAAGAATTGTTCCCTGCAGCAATGAGTTTATATGCTGTGAACCTTGTTCAACAGAAATTACATTGTTTTAACAGCAGGTTATAGCATTGCAGGAAATGTAAGGCTAATTGACTTGTGTACACTGAAGAAGCATTTCTATTCCAGCTCTGTCTCTGAAGATCTGGGTTGCAGACGTGGAGAGTTTAGCAGAAAGCATTACGGATCTGTGGAGCTTGTAAGTATACATAGCCTGTCCTTCAGTTTATCAGCTTATAAAGCAGAACTGTAATCTTTTTAATTTCCGAGTAAAATAATTGGATCTAGTTTGGAAAATGTGCTTTCTCAGCTGGACTTGAAAGTTATAAGCTAAGATAAAGCTGCTTCTGAATAGATATACAGCAGACCTGTGATAGGAGGACTTTTTACTACCTTACTAATTAGTATTTCACTGTAACAGGAAAGAAAGTGTTTTGTCAATACTGCATTTACCTCCAGATGGAAATTGAGCCTTTTTTCCTCATAGAATCTAAAGATGGCAAAATATTAGAGTAGTATTTAATGAAGTACTTGTGATTATGTAAGTTACAAACTGTATACGTGCTCATGTGTGTACACACGTGTATGTAGTTTTGTATGTATGCGACTTGTAATAGTGGGAGAGGGCTTAAAACTAAATGAACCAGTCAGAATTAGGATTTCAAAAACGGTTCCCTAGAATCTGTCAGTTATTCTGCATTTTCTTGAAATTCAAAGATTAAGCTGGCACTTCATTTTTCTCATATATAAATTTCATCTCCACTGTGAAAATATGTCAGCGGTTAAAACAATGTCATTCTGATTACGAGGTCATAACAAAATTACATAAATTTACTGTAGGATAGCGGACGTGGATAGCAGTTAAGAAAATGAACTCCAGCTCTGTTACTGTGGGAAGAAATCACAAGTTTTCTACTAGCTATAGTTGTAATTCTGAAGTTCTTGGGTTGTGTATTTACTAATGTGTATGTCAATTGGGTGTAAATTGCTGGCCTAGTTGCTGGAAGTTGCATTGTGGGAACACTAGGTATCCTTTTCTTTCCGTACATTCCACATAAAAGATGTTGTGTTTTAATCCAAAAGTGCAAGTAAACTGTTTTCTGGTAAGTGGCTCTTTCATTCCTAGTACTTGGAGTCTTTTACTGGAAAAGAAAAAGTAATTTATAATTATAAATTCACATTAAGTTCACACAAATGATCTTGTTTCTTGATTGTTTTCCTTAAAAATTCTGCTAGCATTTTATGAAAGTGTGTAGTTTTTGGAGTACAGATGTTTAAAGGTTCTTGTTGTCCTTTCAAATTTCTAAGTGTTTGATACTTAACTTTTCTTGCTTCGTGTTTTTCACAGTAGCATCTCATTCATGCCTCGTTAGAATTCTTACTGGGTCATTCAAAATCTTTAATCAAGTTAACAATAGCTAGACTGATCCCTTCTCTGTGGGGAGTCATGATGCCTGGAACAAAAAGAAATGGTAGTAAGCTTTGATTGCTGATTGTATGGCTATTTTTGGACATAGAACCTCTATGTTTAAACTCTCTTATAGCTTATATCTAGTGATGCTGATGGAGCCATTCAAAGAGCTGGACGGTTCCGTGTGGAAAATGGCTCCTCCGGTCAGGTAAGTGCCCAAAAATACTCATAGGAAGCTGAAAAAAATATTTGGCTTCAGTTATTTTTCACCTACGAAAGCTGCATTTGCAGTCAATTACTAAGGAAGAGGATTTTGACAATTCTGGCAACATTTTTGCTCACTCGATTGTGTTAGGAGAAAAATACCTCTGAATGACACTTCACAATCTCTAATTTATCTCTCTCTATATATATGCTGTCCTGTTGGTACTATGGTGTTCAAGCTGACTTCTGTGCTTCAGATATTGCTTCTTGGTGTGATGAGGTTTAGCTTCATTTTTTTGACCCTTAGCTGTCTTTTGGCAGCTGTGCTTATCTTTAAATAAGAGAGAAAGAAGTTGAGTGGAGCATCAGAGAGTCATTCCCACCATCTTTCTTGCTGCTAAACTCACAGTGCATCCCTGGAACTACTCCAAATGACACTTACCTTCATTTTTTTAATCTTCCTTTGCAAAACTTGTTTCATCTGTAAATACCATCTTAATATGGAAAGAAAGAAGACTTCATATTCTGGAAATACTTGTAAGATATTGGTAAAGTGTGTATTGAATTAATAGTAACAGCAAACTGTTACTGATCATCTGTTTGCATCGGCACTGGCTGCAGAGTTGAAAGTAGTCTAACTATTCTGCATTGATTCTTTGGGGCAGTCATGTTTGGTCCTCTGTCTTTAGCTCAGTTTCATGCAGTTCAAAAGCCAATTAGCTTGTGTCACGAAAAGATTCGTGTAGTGGGTAATGAACGGCCACATGGTGAATGAATACAGAGAATGGCTTTTTCTTCGCATGTTAAATAATAATAGTGGGAAAGGACTTGATGGATGCTTGGGAATTTATCTTAGTTTATGAGAAACAACACTGAAGAACTTCCAAAGCATGCTTTGGTCAAGC